CTTGACAGCCCACCACATGGCCGTCCCAAGCGAAGCTTGCACGTTGAATGACTGTGCAAGCTACTCGCCACGTCTAGCCGTGCATCGTTGCAACTCAGTTGTGATGATAAAGTTGGCGTCACTGATTCGCAACGAAAGAACGCGTAAGGAGGGGGAGGAGAGGAGGGAAGGGAGGAGAAACAGCCCTCTGTTTCGGACCTCGTATACTCCCTCTTAGGGTGCCTTCATGCGCGCACTCCCTCCAATTGCTCGCGACAAGCATGCCACATCTTTTATCCCAGCAGAAGGATGATCTGCGGTCGTGTCGTCCCGGAATGTGTGTCAGGGAGCTCAAGGCGGGCGTTGAGGTATTCGATTACGTGTGTGTGCGTGCGCGCGCTAATGTCTGCTTGCACGCGTCTGTCTGTGTCTCTCCGTGTGTATGTCTGTCTGTCTCGCTCTCCGTACGTGTGTGTGTGTGTCTCTTTATCCCTCGACCTATCACGTGGGTTGCAGTAATAGACGACGGCGTTTCCTCTCCCGGTGATGCGAGGCGACGGAGAGAGACGGTCGCGTTGTTGCGCGGGGAGCTGGGGGTCCCCCGCGGTGGCACCATCTGGCGAGCGTTGTGTCGAACGGTAGCTGCGTCGACCCCGTGCCGTTTTAATAAAGGCCCGGTTCTGATGGATAGTGCCGTCCGCGGCCGCCTCTATGCGCTGCAGGCCGCTGGTCAGTCAGTTGTGACCGGGAGTCGTCTTGTGTTCCTTGCTCGCAGGGCAGCCCCGATGCTCCCGACTGGGACGTTGGGTGACGGGCCACTCGTCGTGAAAATGTCAACAATTAATTTTTTTTTTTTTGCTTACGTGTTATGTTGTGCATTCTCGTAGCGTACGGTGGGAAAATTGGCGTTTGACAAGTGGCTGCAGTCGCTGAGAGGGGAAAAAATGACGCATTCCGTCGTGAATGGTTGTGGGTTTGTTTAATTTACGTTGATGTTTTCTTTATTTTGGCTTCAGCGGGATTAGATTTTCCCACCGGGTCGTTAACTGCGGTGGCAAACGCGGAGAGCCAACAATCAACCTCGTTCCTCTCTTCGCGTCTTTGCCCAGTTGTGCCCATCCCGAAAAAGGAAACGCCTCGTCTCGGCGGATGTCAGCCGCATTCAAAGGACCGTTTACAACAACCCACAAATCTCTGGACTTGACATATTCAGCCTTTGAGGCCGTATTAAGATTCGTATAACCACGAGATCCGTCTGAATTTGTTTCTCAGTCTTTCCCGACCTTGCAGGGACTGATTTGAAGGACCGCCACTCCGTTACCTTAGAGAGGCGAACGTCCTAAGGTGGTGCGCGCGTGTCACACGGATGCCTGCCCGATGCTCCGAGTCCGGTAGCATTGAAGGGGGCTGGGGAGGAGAGAAAAGCTCCGCTTTCTCTCTCTCCTAATCTTTTTCTCGACTAATGAGCGAACGGCGAAAATCCGATTGCGTGGGGCTCTCCAATCCCTTCGTGTCTCGAGAGAGCGGTCCCCTTCTTCACGGACGTCGCGAACTTGGGAGGCTACACGTCGCGTTTCCGACCTGGCGGACGCGCAGAGCCGGACTGCCTGAGGGGCGGCTTTGCACCAGTGCGATTCACCGAGCCGCATTGGAGGAGCTAAACTCGACCGCTCCACTTGCTCCCTCGCTTAATTTTTTTATTCTTTTTTGATGCGCAGCCGAGTGGAACCATCCCACGACTGGCGACAGCGACAGGGCCTGCACCCGATATTGCCGTCTGGGTCTCTTCCAGTCGGCGATCGATGTGTAACGATTTCTCGTTTGGATAGCGTTCAAGATAGAGCTCCCACATCGCCTTCGCGTTGTGTTTCTTTGGCGTTGGTTCGAACCGATTTTCAGTCACTTGGACGAGTGTTGACAGGAGCAACGGGGGAAAAAGGACAGCCGCGTTGCTTGCGTCCCTGTCTGCCTCAGTTCGTTTGCGTCGCTGTCCGCCGTGTTCCATGGGCTTGGGTGCAGCGATGTAGCTTCGGCCCCTTTCAACAATATACCCGCAGTCTTGGCTCTATTTTCTACTCACCGAGCTTGTTTTAGAAGGGGACGCTCGCATGCGCTGTGCACGGGCGTAGCCTCCTCTATATTCACAAAGCCCGGCATTTCGACGAAGGGCCATAGAGTGTCCGGTCGCAGATTTGGAGCGGGAGGATCTGATAGCACAGAACATCAAAGAGCCATTTCTCGGGGAACCTGAACGTCAGCGCAGAGCGTTTGCAGCGGCGAGGACCCGAAACATACTTGTTCGCTCGGGAGAACTGTGTTTCGGCGTCACGCCGCAGCGGGGCGCCAGTCACGTGGCTCTCCTCTCATCCGTTGTCTGCCGCTGCACCTTTTCCATTTCGGCGGCCGCTTCTCGTAGCAATCTGCCAGGCTTTGTTATATTTCTGAGAGTGCATGCTCATAGGGTGGCTCGTAAATTTAGGATAATGCTTGCCACAACGAGTAATAGGTTTTTGTGTGGGCAAGAGACCCGTGGACCGATATGTGCACGTATCTATGTCGCCGGCGTAGGTATCCCGTTTAGGAGGTTCTGGAATTATTGCGGAGATGAAAATAGGAGGTGAATGCTATAGGCTAGTTTTGCTTGCGGTCCTAAGTTGAGCGTATCAGTTTGATATCGCTGAACCTGCGTGCTCGGAACGAATAAATGCAAATCGATGATGTCATTGATCAACATCGAATCGAGTTTCCTCGGAAACATGATTCGTATCTGTTAATCAAAACTAAAACTGAGTTGTTGTTTTTTTCTCGCTCAACCTTGGTAGCGGTAGACCCTGCCGTCGCGGTTGACTCAGCGCGACGAAGTTCCGGTTGCGCGAAGGTCGGACTTGGGCAATCCAATGCTTCCTTCGAAGAGATGTAGGTGAGACCGTAAGTAGGCAACCGTGCCGAAAAGACTGACGCTATTTTCCTCCGGCCGTCCGCCGCATTAACGCAGATGTCAGCGCCGTTGGTCTCTGCGGACAGCACTTCCACGAAGACGCTATTCACGCGGTCGATATAGTAGACTTCGCCCGCTCCGCTTCGCTCGTAATGCGTTTTCTCGGTTACTGGAACCTGGTTGTCTGGTGAAGTTCAAGGAAGCGAACTGTTCGATTCTCCTGCGGCCTGTTTCGTGGAAAGCTGATTTGCTTGTTGGCAACACGACAGGGTAGTTGTACCGCATCTGGGAAGGGGGGCGAGGAACTTTTCGAGGTAGACCGATCTTCCCTGTGACTGACGAACGTGCGGCCACTTTGTTCAGCGGCAGCGGATAGCAGGCTGCATGCTGCCGCTCCGGCTGCTGTTCGTGTCTCAATGGGTCACGCTGAGTTGACTCCCCAGGTGACGTACGGCTCTGAGGAATCCGGATTCCTCGCTCCCCTCTCTCGTTCCGAAGCCTCCCCGAAGTCGTGCTCGTGCACGTACGCTCCTCCGGTCCGGCTTCGCAGCTTTCTTCGTTTTGTTTTGGACCCCTTGCCTCTACGCCGTTTCATTTGGGATTCCGCGCGAAGCACGCGTGGTAATTTACGACGCACGCGTTGCTCCCGCCCTGCGGGAGATATCCCGCGAACACGGGAGAGGGAGCTTAACAAGTCGAGGGGGGGAGGGGACGCAGCTGGGGCAGCCCTGAACTAATGTCCCGCCGTCAGAACTTCTATACTTGTTTTGTGTCGGATACCTGACTGTGCAGGATTTTTGAATGAACTCTGCAATGACCTTGAGTATGCGCGCTGCCGCAATTGTTTTCCCTCGGTAAAATAGAATGACCTGATGTTATAAAAAAAAAAAAAAAAAGACGGCACTAACGAGGGTGGTACTTTCTATCCTATTATTCACGTGAAGCGCACGGTGCGTGAAGTCGTTTTCAGTTGAAATTATTCCTAGATTTCAGTTCCTGCGTGGGGTGTTCGCTTTTCTGATTTGTCTGTTTTCCTTCGAAAATGTTTGTGAGCTTTTGTTTCCTCGTCGTTTCCTTTCCCCATGCTGTTAATTCTTTCATGCTGTTTTTGGCACAATATAGAAACTAACTCGAGAAAACAGTAGGCGTTAATATGCTCCAGAATATTTTTATTTTTGCTTCTAGGTTTGTCCGTACGACTTAATTATTACTCCAATTCTCGCGCGTGTCATTCAGTTTTGGTGGAAACTCGAGACTCTGATATCCTCCTATACGAGATTGCTCGTAGTTTTTTCGAGATGTAGATTTATGTGTGAGCGGAGAAGTTTGCTGTTGCAGCAAGGTTCGAGCTAGGAGAGTCCACCGTTTCTCACTCTCTGCCGCCGCCCTTCATGGCTATCTTGACAGCAAATCCTATATATCTACGAAGGTAGTTGTGTCGGCAGCAGAAGTAATAAAAAGAAAAGACTAGAAAGAAAAAGCTTTTCATGAACTGCGAGCTTTCCATGGAAAGCTCGCACTAGTTCCTACTAACGAGAACATACTCTCGCTGAGTTATGTCTCGCGACAGAAAGCGACTACGGCTGCGCAGGACACTCGCGGAAGATATCTGCGGAATGTGGGACTCGCCCGGCTGATAGCGCCGTATGTCATTCGGGTAAAAAAAAAAAAAAAAAACAGTGAGCGCCGTAGATGTTATTCGAGCCCACGTCGTTGCGACCCCTCATGAAAGCTCGCAACGTTTTTGGTGCGCACTTCCCTCTACTTACGGCCTCTGCACCGCTTTGATGTCACGGCGAACTGGTCTCCGTGAATGGCCAGACAGATTGCATCGCATGTGCGCGCTACGGGGGACTGCTTCGATTCCGCGCGTGGGATGCTCGCATCAATGGGGGAGCCTGCACCGGTGCCGCGTCCCTGTTCCGTCCACATTAAACAACAATGCGGGGTCGTTAACGCGAGGAGCGTCAATGTCTCCCAGCTCCGATGGCGTGTTTGGGCATTGATATTTAAACGAGCGGGCTGTTTTTTTTTTGTGGTGACGACTGGCTGACCTTTGCGTTTCTTTTTGCTCTCTTTGCAGGACCTCCAAACGAGCTGATTGGGTGAGTTGCATTCAAATTGCTTTGTCCGGTGTCGTGGTCGTGTTGGTTCCTGGGTGTGGATTTCCGTTACTTCGCCCACGCCAATCTGTGACTCCAGCGGTCCGGCGTTCGTAAATAGAGTTTGTGACTGGGAACATCGCGTCGTTGTGGAGATTTTCCAATCACCTTGAAGGTGCGATCTGCCTCATGACGTTACGGAGTTGAGTGTCTCACATCTTGTTTTAGGACGTGTTGTTTGGAACCGCCAATGCTCAAGGTTGTTCCAGTATACGGGTGAAAAGCCTTTGGAGTGCCAAGTGCTTTCTGAAAGGCCCAGGTACGGCTGAAATGCTTCTGTGCCCTTAATTCGCGATTAATGCGGTGGTAATAGTACCCAATGTAAGCGTTGCCATATTGCTCTCTCGGATGTAATGTACGCGACGACGCGAACCGATTTCGCATAGTCCCTTTTATTGAGGCTGCTAGCGGTGTGTGCCCAGCAGAAGTGGACATAATCCCCGTTACGGACAATGTGCGAGGTTGTTGAGTTTGATGAATACAGCAATTGGGGGGGCTGGGGTCGGGGTCGGGGTCGGGGTCGGGGGTCGAAAGCATAGTATGCTTTCGCTTGTATGAACACAATGTTTGGGTGTCGTCGTAAAATTACATATTATAAGCGATGTGATTGCCGCGCCATTTGCATTAAATAGCATGCTTACTCCCGCTACATCATGCTTCATTTAATCGAAGTGTAAAAGAATATGCCAGTACTGATTTTTTTTTTTTCGACAGTTTAAATTAGCGGAGGCCCTGCTACATTGCCGAAGCGTTATAATAGGCCCGTGCGAAAAAAAAAAAATCGGTTATTGCTTTTAATAACGTACTTTATGATTTGGGCTCGGTATCGCGTATTTACAGTGCAGTTCCGATATATTTCTCAATGGGTGTGCGAGCTCTGTTCGGGCAGCTTACTTAGTTCTGCAGAGTTGGTTTTTCACCGCGCACCGGTGCGCTGCGGGGAAATGACGTCCTCATCGCGATCCTGCGTATCTTGCTTCGTTGCAATGCATCCGCGTGCTAAGGGGAAAAGCACCCTTTCAGCGCGGGATACCACATGCGTCGAGCACTTGAAAAAAAAAAAACATTTTGGGGGATGTGAATATTTATATATGTATACGCATTGAAAATTTCCAAGGGGAACCGCTGGTGTATGTATGACAGACTGAAGCATCCGGCGACCTGCGTGCTTATTGGTCGTGACTGTTATCCATTTCGAGATTTAAAGATGGTAGTAGCTGTGTAGCGCGAGAGGTTTCCTAGAAGTATCCTGGATTAGATTCAGCTAGGCTGCACCCTAGGTTTAATTTCTTCGTTCTACGCCGCAAAGTGCTTCCAGGACAAAATCAATAAAGACTGCAAACGTTTAACGAAGGGAAGGAACTTTAACTTCAAATTTAACCTCAGGAGTCGAACTGGATTTTTTTAAGACGTATATTTGTCAGCTACGTGCTGAATTTTCATAATCACAAAAATCTAGATGTAAAAGCTGCGCATATTTAAAGGCCTAGAACTTCATTTTCTAACGAATTTAAGAACTTGCCAGCTCTGTTTGCAACCTTCGGGACTCAGTGAACAAAACATCAAATTGGGTACGTAGAGCTTCTCTATTCTAACATTATATTAATGGAATACTAATTCAATATTCCATACCTAAAAGTAACCGCTGAAATGTTCATCATATATGTTGTGTTTCTTTCCAGTGTTGGGAAGTAGGCTACTTTAAGTATCTTATCAGAGTATCTATGTAGTTGTAATTTACATAAAGTATAATTTTCTGGTACTTTACGAGAAAAGTACAATTCCCGCCTTCAAAGTACGTCCCCCAAATTCGGTATCGGTGAAATTCAGCTGTTTCAACCACCACGCGCTCGGGTTCTTGGCTTTCCCAGTATTATACAAAACTTCTGAAATCAAAAATAAAAACCCACCAACCTCTAAAAAAAAAAAAGTATAGTTATGTAAAAACGCGATATTGCCTTTTGGGCCGCATCCGGTCATTATCTGAGTGAAGTTATGCCGGCCATACGACCGATACAAATAAGTGCCTTATAAGTAGGGTTCCCTGTTTTCAGAGTGTATTTATTATAAAATTCGGAGGTTGTTTTTCGGCGTTTATTTTAGACAGGAAATTATGGATTTATCTTTGAAATTCGTAGCTTAGTTTTACTGCCGTTCCAGTTTTTCAACATTAAAAAAAAAATCTTTCGGACAAAAGCGCGTTTTAAATTTAAAAAAAAAAAAGAAAAAAAGAAGCAGCAGCACGGGTTTGAAATATATTTCTGCAGGTGCATTTGGCATTGGTGCCCTTGCGACTGGCTGTACTAACTACCCCACGACAAGTCTTGCAAACAAGTGGTGCTTCAATAAACGTCGGTTCTTTGAAATAGCCAAACTCTTGGATGTAGTCGTTGGAAAACATAAACGCTTTAGCTTCCGTCTCCCTCAAATGAAACCTACAAGCTCTCCTCTATCTGAGAAGCGCAAGCGTAAGGTCTCAGCTGGAAACCGGAGCTTTTGTCGTCACTCGGAAGTGCACTGACCCGTTGTACCGAATGTCGAACTGAACGAACCCTGACGAGACTCCCTTTTGTCAATAATCCTTTACTAAAAGGAGAGAAAGAGAAAAAAAAAAACAAAAAAAAACTGATGTGGCCTGTTTTCAGGACTACTATGTGCACTGATAAACGGTTTTCGTAATATATTGTTTTTTGTTTTGTTTTTTAGTTTACGAGATTTCGAAATTCTGAGTTCTTCGGATAAAGTCAAATTGGCGGAATGTCTACCCGCGAGTATTTCTTCGAGTTTTTCGGATTTGTCCGAAAATACGGAATCTTATTTTTAACTTATAAGTTGGTTATGTTAAATAGTCCATTAGCGAGAGTAAAACAATTGCTATGTGACCACTTGACTTTATCCAAGATTTGCTGCTATTTCCGAAAACAACTGTTGCATTGCATTTAAGGGAATGCATACCAGTTAAAAAACAAAACAAAAAACAACAGTATAGTGGGATGAAAGCACATTTTGAAAGATTACCTTAAAAACCACTTGTACTCTGAAACAGTGATGGAAGTGCTGCGCCAATTGCGCCAAATTGCGCCAAGGACGCAATCCTGCTACATGTAGCGCCAAGTTGTCATTTTACCGAAGAATTTCGCCATGCCTGCGCCGAGATGAGATGTAGGAATAAAAAATAAAAATTGAAGTCTTATCGGAGCGCGTGGCGGTTCCGCGGTATTTTCCGCGCCGCAACTGTTACGCAAACCGAAACTGCGAGGGCGCATTATCATCATCATCATTGAAAGGAACAACGTTAGCAACATCTGAGACCAAAGCCGCAGAGGCTAAGCGAAAAACCATCCCACTGAGCAGCCTATTTAAAAAAAAAGGCCGAGCTTGTGGATGTTTTCAATGTTGGCCCGCCTAGGGTGCCTCAATGTCCTTCTGTTTAGGGTGATGGCAACCATTGTTATACCCGATGCCGACAGCACGCGCTCACGGGAAAAATACAAAGAAATCGACGTGGGACAAAATGTCGCCATAGCACAGTCAGCGCCACAAACGCGTGCAGGGGCACGCTCTTTCACGCGCTTCTGAACAAAAAATGAAAATAAAAGTGTGGGTCAAAATGGCCGGATGTCTCCACCCTAAGTACAGTGTTCTAGAGGGTGTAGTGGCAAGAGCGGCGCCCGCTTACAATGAAGCGCGTGAAGACGGTCGACGTAGATACCGCGCGTGGCGCTGGAGTTCTGTGCCCTAGGAGAATTAATGGCACGTGTGCGATGAACGAAGAAGACGACGAGGGAGACGCGGTACGCTTCTCCAAAATGTAGCACCGTAGAACTTCTTTCGCCGCTATTAAGCCTGCAGCCCAAGTGATAGTGTTGCTGAACGATCTGTCAGTACTGGGGGGGGGGGGGGGGGGGGGGAGTCGATATTAATTAAATACTCTTCCTCAAAACACGCAAATATTTCAAGTAGAGGATAGCACACACTCTAGAGGCATTAGTCCAAAGGCTGAACTAGAATTTTTATGGTGTACCGCAGGAAATGCTATAAGCACGAGCCCCTTGCTCTGGGGCAGATCTCGGCGGCACAAGCTCTCGTGCAGTAAGGGCAGCTGTCAACGTTATGAGCTCGCGCTTCCAGCCTTCGCTGCGGTACAACATAAGGTGAAACGGAGTATACAGAACTACATTAGCAGTTGTTTCACACCGCGAAAAGCTCCAGTCAAACCACAGTAGTAAGCGCCGAACAGCGCTGATGATGGGGCTGACGGGGGCGCGCTCCTAGGGCACAGAACAGCAGCGCCATGGTGTCGTCTACGCGCAAAATCTTCACAAAGCAGCCGCCGCTCTTGCCACTACAACCCCCTCTAGAACACTGTAACCCTAAGCAAAGCGCACGTGAAGGCACCCTAGGCCCGCCCTGTCCCCTTGCGCTAGCTACCAGCGAAGTCAAAGCTAGCGCGAGCCCAATGCTCTGTGCATTCCTGACTCGTGCGTGGGCACGTGCAGTGTGGGCAGCGTTACGGGCTCCATGCGCGCGCTTGTAGCTTCGGCTGCGCTCACACCGAAGCTGAAACGAAGTATAGTTTAGTTGCACCAAACTCTGGATGTAGTGCTGGTAAAGCCTCACCGTCCTTTTCGGAGCACAAAGCACTGCGCGACTTGCGTGACTGCGGTGTCTGCCCCGAGGGTGTCGCTTCTCTGCAGCGCGTCCGTGCATGCCAAGGAGCGCACTCAATGGGTTAACTCGCCGTGGTCCGATCGTGACTTCGCCAGCACATCGAAAATGAATCGGAATTTTTGAAGCGAATATCAGATACCGCAATATTTGAAGCTGCTGCCCGAAAGACAACTCTAATCTGAACTAGAACATTCCACAACAGTGAGGGTCGTTAGATGCTGCTGCAGATACCTTAAAAGAAGCGCAGGCTGATAAAACTAAATATACTGTAC